AGCTTATGTTCCTTTTTATCTTGATCCATGATGTGCCGGTAAAACTTCGACCGAGAAGAAATCTGACCTTTCAGGAAGCTCTATCCTTTAGTTACACTGAGTAACCGATTTCAAAATGAGGTCTGCCTAGACCTCTGATATAAAGCGGGATAATATTGTATCTGATTACAGTCAGATGTACTGGAAGATAATGTCTTAATCTACAAAGTGAATCGGTTATAACGGGTTTCTCCGACAAGGGACCTTTATTCTTGTGTTTGTTTTTGCCTCAGTGAGTCTTCAAGAGGAACACTGGAAATTAAACCCCGACAGAGATTGAACTGGTGACAGTGATGCATGTAGACCTTACTTCGCCTCAACTTAGGACGATTAACAATGCCCACGCCGTTTTGTATAACATCTAAAGGAGATAGTCTGACCTATTTCCAGATTGTATGCGAAGATAACAAAATGATAACAAAAGAAAAACCGCTAGTAGGAAGTGATATTCTAACTTTTATTTCCCAAAGATTCTGCAGTCCGTTGTTATTTAGTTCTCAGTGTGTGATCGATTGTGGTAATAAGTCGGGTAAGAATTTCAAATATGGAAAATATATCAAGGATGCATTCCCATTTCAAGGCTAGACAGGTCAGATATGCAGTAATATAATATACAGTTCGATGGAGCATCTGCAGACCTCACCAGATTATAACAATGTGTTTCACTGTTAAGGTCTTCACTGAATTCTTTCCCTAAGCCAGTTTCAAACTTCCTGATGAAGGTATAGTACGATTTTAGAATTAGAGATCAACCAGTGGACATCTCCGGGAAGCATGCAAATCCACGTCGAATTAGTAAAAATGGAAGTCCAAAAATCGAGCCAATGAGATCATGCGTCTACAGGCCCATCTTAAGTGGCCCTCCCGGCAACTGAAGAGGAACGAGCGGCCTTGAGAGCGAGAATAGAAGCGATCGATGCAATGATAGTACCAGTCTACATTGATGTTTGATCCAGGTCATCCTCGACATTTTAGTTTTCATTCTGTAGTGATCTGTAATGACCTTATGTCCCAGCTGGGACGATGAGAATGAGCCGAAGTGATCGTGGAGATCAGCATATGTAAACTGGTTACGAATAAAGTCGTGAAGATCGCTCAACTTTTTCTAAAGCAGTCAAATGCAAACAAGCTTTACTCCCTTATTTAAACATTTCTTAACCAAGTCGAGCAGATATGGCTCGCACCCAATTGCAATCATTATAATTTACACGAAGCCATCATATCGTGGTTCAATATATGCTGTGACGTCAAAACTTCAATAGGAAGTCAAATTTATTCTATTCTAAACTGGCATTTTTATCGTAATAACGAAATACATATCACAAAATAATAGACCTAAACAATACTAGCATTTTATATTTAGTATTTGTACATACATTTTTACTTCAGTTGTTATTTTGTTCTCTTGGCGCACCTGTAAACTAGCTGCTCCGTCCTCCGTTACCATAGCTAGGTGTGTTGTCCAAGTAAAATAAATTGTCTATGTCTATATTTAAGCGCAAACTTATTTTGTGCACACTGCGCATGTGAGCTCTCGGCCCTCGTAATAAGGTGGACATTTTGAGAAATATCCACAATTTGCCTGAACCAGGTACAATAATGCACCATTATGGTTGGACTGACTTCCCGGAACCGACTCGACATCCCAGTCAACACAGATAAAATTTCGAGTGTTTTGGTGATCCCAGTGTTCAGTCATAAGGTACCCATGATACTCTTCGGTCCAACCATTAGGACAGTCATCCCTTGCGGGTATCATCAGCTGAGTGCCACGTGACCTGACATAACACACGACACAGGGAGCATCATGGTTATGGACATTTCGTTTAAAAGGATTGAAGGAGCTCACTTCATACTCGGCGCCATATATGCCTCCAGTTCTTTCAAAACTGTCAGTGTATTTTCCATATTTGGGTTGGTTTGGCAAACAGAGGTGGTTACTTCCTCCTCCTATGTGGTCGTGACGGCCGCCTGCTATGAACCCTGGGTAGCACATCAGAAGAAGTCGAAAAGGGTATCAAGAGTATAATAGTTTTGAATAGTTTTAATCAGTATTTAATTTGTGATTTTTACCTGATAAATTGCGATATTAGCGTTGTTAAGTTGTTAGGTTCTCATTAGTTATTAGGTGGAATACCTGTAAACTAGCTCTCAACCTAAGCGTATATCCACGTTAAATAAAGCAATCATTCATTCAAACCCTCATAAGGAGGTTGAACAGCACAAAGAAGTCAAACGCACCGCGAGCGCAGATCTCACCAAGAATGTACTGCTGCTGATTGTGATTAGGACATTTACGGAAAACAAATACGCTTTGAACGGCGAATATGCATAAATTATTCAAACAACTCTTATCTACAAGCTTTATCGTGGTATGTTTTACGATTCAACCTTTTACAAACAAAGAAACAAATTACTTGTGGTGCAATCCTCGGTAACTATGAAACAAAACACAGCTAAAATCGCTACTTTCTTTCCGCCCTACAGAACTCTTTTCAACAAAAACATGAGCAATGATTTTTGACCGAGATGAGGCTATAAACTATAGTTCATATATGTGCGTAACTTTTTGTCCAATTGAAAATCTTAAAAAAAGACAGATGTTTGAGATAGAAAGTAGAATCAAACCAAAATACGCGCCGGAACGACGAAAAACAATTGTCAAGTTAAATCAGAATCCAAATCACCATAGTGACAGAGGTGTCTCAGTGCCCAGTTTCCAGTCGCGGTTTGTTGTCTTTAAAAGCACTTACCTGTGTATACAACCTGTGCATCTCCACCGCAGCTTGTCCGGCCCCACCGCACGTACTTGACGCCACTCAGCCCCTTCCCCTCTTGTCCCTTTTGTCCCTTTGGTCCAGAAGGTCCTTCAATACCGGCTTTTCCACTTGGACCAATGTCTCCTGAAAAAGATTCATTTTAAAAGTTTTTTCTCGTATTATCCTTACGAGACAAAGCGTTCGTACGTGGAGCTGCCTAGGGTTTCGGGTACTGTTCCTGTGCTCCGGAGCATCACTGTTGATCATTTTTAAGTTTCTGTTTTGCATGATTTAATATATTTTCTTTTTTATTCAGTTTTCTCAATCAGAACAGCAGTGAAATAAATCATCCCCTCCACATTCGTATTCTCGATATTGGACTGGAACTAGCTTGCAATGGAGGCTCATGCGGGAAAATATCATTAAAAAGAGATTAAGAAGCAATCCGATAGGAAATCAAGCGAGTTCAGTTTATAGTGGACAAAAACCTGGTACCAGAATAATTTTAGGTATTTTACAGTCCCCGTTACATTTTCTTAGAGCTAAAAATATAAATAGTTGCCTCAAATAACACCGAAAACAAAATACCCACAAGAAAATAAATTTCAAAGTCCAGAGAAATTGTGCAATTACCGGTAACATTTCATCATCAGTTTCATTTCACCAGTACTTTTAAGTGTTTCATATGAACTTTAAAATTTGGTGTTGTTAAAAATGATTTTTTTTTTTTAGAAGATATTTAAATCAGTCGCACAGAAGTTTGCAATACAATGTAAATCAGTAATCTCGATACAAAGTTTTTGTCCGCTTGTTACTCGAGCTTCTGGTGGATTCCTTGTTAATGTCATTGACATTTGAAAAGATTTCCCACATTAGCCTCCGTTGCATGCTAGTTCCAGTCCTATACCGAGATTGATTGATTTCTAATTCTCTTAATTTTTTCTACATTCGTTGCGTTTCAATTAACTAGTAAAACAACGATCAGTATGAATATTTGAACTCGTCTTGGAAGAAAGCGCGGGAAAATAAACGAGTGACTTTCTTTGCTTTCTTTCTCCGGAGATGTTTATATGGTGTTATAGAAACACTCGTGAAAGCTTGTGGAGAATTCCATAAAGCCCGTGGAGCATTTCGCGTTCTCCCA